GCCGCGAAGGCCCCGGCCGGGCCGGGGCTTCCTCTGGAGACCGGCCACGTGGATCGCCAGCACCTTGGGACCGATGAGGCGCTTGTAGAGCAGGGACAGCCAGTAGTCCTGGGGGCAGAGGGGACAGTCAGCAGCACAACGGTCCCCCCGACTCACAGGGAGGAGGGGCTGGCTTCCCTGCTTAAATCCTAGCAAAATTTTGGCTGTTGGGGTGAAAACGCTGTGCACCAGACATCTGCCTTGGGGTGAGCTTTTTCTGTGTGGTCCAAGCCAAGATGGCATCGCTGTTTCCAGGAAAGAGATTAAGGGAGGAACACATTGCTCTGCCCACGCTGAGAGATGCCGATACCCTCTAAAGGAGCTCAGCTTTTGGCTGGGCCGTGGAGCGCGGGCAGCAGCACGGATGCCCTCGCACCTTCCCACGGACCCGCACATAGCCACGCCGCAGACCTGTGCACCAGCTCCAGCTGACGCACATGGGACAGTGATGTCTCTGGAGCGGGCAGGTCACCCTCCACCACACTTCTACACGGGGCTGGAGCACACCAGACCTGTCCCGCTCTCTCCAGCTCTGTTCGTGGCACGCTGGCTTTGGTGACTGCTGAGGGTGCTCCACTTCCCAGAGGCACTGCTCCCATTTTAGAGCCTCCTGTGGAGTTACGCACCCATGAGCACAGCACGGGGAAGCCAAGCACTCAAGAAATAGGAAATGTTCAGCCCCTACACACATGCGTTAACGATGCAGCCTTTAATTACGTCACCACATACTACTTTTTCCCACAGGGCACAGCCTTGCTCGGCACACAGGATGGGCCCCAAGCCCCGGGGAGGGAGGTGAGGCTGTGCGGCCCCCCCTCATCCGCCGCAGAAGCTGGGAGGTGTGCAGTAAATGAAGCAGGGTTGTGGGAAGGGGAAGGGGAAGGGCAGGCGCTCGCCTGCTCTTCTTCAGGATGGAGCTCTGTCCCTTCCGCTGCTCTGGGCACCCCAGGTGATGCCACAGAGATGAAGGCTCTCACGCTGCTTCTCTGGGTGCTGCCTGTGGGTGTGCTGAGCACCGCCTGGGTGCTGCGGCCCCTTCGCACACACGAGCACTCTGGATAAACCCCCTCAGCGCAACCCAGACTGGCTGCCCCAAGAGGGACCGTGTGCCCCAGGGCAATTGGGATGACCCACCAAGCCATCGGTGGTGGAAACCCAGCAGCGACAGCGATGGGGCATGGAAGGGAGGAACAAGGTCTCCAGGGCCCCAGCCTGCAGGGCAGGATGGGCAGGTGGAAGTGCAGATCCCTCATGCAGGTACAGGTGTCCATCCCGCGGGTGGGGAGCCCTCACACAGCCCCTGATTAACACACATTTCTGATGAAGAGGCCAGCAGATGAAACACAGAGCAGTGCTGCAGCAGCGACCGGCACGAGGCGCACACCCACTGGCCACACTGCCAGTCCTCATCCTCTCTCCAGCCCAGCTCAGCAGAAGCTGACCTGTTCCAGCAGTGCTGGGCTCGCCCGACAAAGAGCGATCCAAACCCACTTCCCACTTTCTGGGTAAGCTTTTGCCACAGGGCTGGAGGAAAAGCTGGCTCCTGCCCTCCTCTCGCTGCTTCCAGCCAAAACCACGAGGCCTTGTGCCACACCGGTCACCGGAGGAGACGCACGGGTGAAGGGAGAGGCTTGTGCACCCCGAGGAGGCTCAGCCCGCGAGGCCAAAGCTCCCGGGGAGGATAAGCTGCAGTTGCTCAATACAGCAGACGTGTGCAGTCCCTGTGGCGTGTGCCACCATCCCCGTCCCTGCCCCGCACTGTGCCGAGCTTTTCCCCGCCGCAGGAAGTCGTGCCAGCCCACTGCCCTCTGGCTCACGGCTGGCAGGAGAAGCGGTCCCCGGCACACCGCCATCTCCCCAGCGAGCAGCGCTGATCAGCAGGCATCATTAGATGAGTAATTACTCGAGTTTACAGGGAGGCATGAGGTGAGCACGGATTGCAGTGTTTAGCCCCATGGTCGTGCATTAAAAATAAATGAGTTCAGTGCCCCAGGCTACCTGCCAAGCTCAGGCTCTTAGGTCTTTCTAGCAGCCCCCCTGGGGTTTCTCGCCTCCTCTCCATATTTCCACTGACAAGATGCTGCTTTCGTCCACAAATTATGGGAGTGACAGAGGCCAGAGGCTTTGTGGCCACCCTTGAAATCTCCATATGGGTCTTGGCAGCTGTTTTGCAGTGGGCTTGTGATGACCTCATCATGATGGCGAGCTGGCACCAGCAGCTCCAGCCTACGGCTGAGCAACCCACCCCTCCGGGCAGGGTGGTCCCCAGGGCTTCCTGCTTTGATACCAGCATCCTTCTGCTCTCTAGGCTCAGCAGCAGCAAGGTTTGCAATGTTGGGGTGCAGGAGCTGCCCAGCTCCACAACACGCCCTGGTTTCTGCCAAATCTCACATCTCAGCATACACTCTTCGCAAGGGTGCTCTGACAAAGCCCATTCCGCTGCAGAGCTGGGGGAGCTGAGCCTGGGGCTCCTGCTGTGGTGGCTCACAGGCAGAGCTGTGCCGTTTAGCATCTCCTGGGCTAGGCACAAGGAGAGATGCTTGTCCTCTGGGAAGCGCTGGCCACATTCTGTGAGCTTTTGATCTATCTAAGGGTACACAGCTTTTCTGAGAAAAAATGTGCGGATGCCACCAGATGGGTTAGGCAGCCAGCAGCGATGCAGGGTGAGCTGTTCTGCAGAGCGTGAGATGGCCACAGCTGAGCATAAAGTACTTCAGTGCCGGCAGTGCCCCCAGGGCAGCACGGGAACCAACCTGTCCCTCCAGCATCTGCAGGAGGCGAAGGGAGAGCAGTGATTTTACCTTGCCTTGCTGGCAAGGCTAGCTCCAAAGTCTCTGTTTCAAGAAGGATGTGGAAATACCAAAGAGAGTTCAAAGCAGGGCCAGAAAAACGACCCGGGGCTGGAAAAGGCGCCGTACAGTGCGACCTCGAGGTACTCAAGCTCTTCAGTTTACTGCAGGGAAGCACTGAAGACAGCTTCAGCTTTTCATGTCATCGCAAGCCTGCTTGTGGCAGGGGCCAAAATCATGCTACTTGCAATAAATTACCAGGAGCTGGTGACACCGAGCATTTGGATGATGAATTGCATGCACACCTAGCACGACGGGATCAAACCCACCGGGTGCGGGCCCCCCGGGGGGGGGGGGCCTCGGGGGCTCCCCCTGCCACTGGCATGAGTGAACTGGGGTTGCTGGGCACCTTCAGCTACTGGCTCCTGTTCAAGTGGTGACCAGCTTGGGAAGCAGTTGCTCTTGAAACCCAGCTTGGCTGCAACAGGGGTGGCTTTTACAACGATCAGTGACCTCTCCCCAGACCCCCAGCTGCAGCTGGCACCCCTTCCTATACAGTAGTCCCCCTGCGTGAGCGTGGCCCCCAGGCTGCCAGCGCCCATATGCCCCTTGCAAAAATGAGCGCCCGCCTTGCATCCCAGCGGAGGCAGCCCTGGCAACCCCCAGGGAGATGCGCAGCTCCGACCATCGCAGCCACAGAAAGAATTTGGATTTTGGAGTCACGGAGGGCTCCCGTTGTGAGGGCTGAGCCAGCAACACAGCTGTAGTGGTAGGGGAGGAATAACAGACAAGAATCTGGTCTGCTATTAGTCCCCTGGGAATCGAGGGAGCTTTCTTGCTTTAATTACTTTGCAGACCCATTAAGCAGTGCTGCCACTGCAGCCCTCCGCACTGCAGGCGAGGAGCACCTGAAGGCAGAGCCGTCCTGTGCCTCAGGAGGTCTCCTGGCCGGGACCCCTGATTTATGGGCAGGAAGGGTGCTTGTCTGAAGTGAGCTGATGTGCAGAGCTCAGGCCAGCCCCATCTTCTGAGCACCACGGGGCCAGTGAAAACCCACGAGCTTATCACGAGATGGGGAAAACCATAGGGTCCCACTTGATTTCTTTCTACATTTTAATTCCTTGCAGGAGCTTTTAGAGACTTCAGCTTTTGGAAACAAGGCTGATTAGGCAGACCTTCAGACAGACCTATTAACCAGACCCTCCCATCCCCAGAGCCATTAGGAAAGGCACAGGAGCGTATCTCCACGCTCTCTCCTAGAGGCAGCAAAGCAGCTTTACAGTCCACCTGAGTTTGTTCAATCCCATGTTCACCACATGTGAGAAGACATTGCCATAACCAGATAACTGGAGTAACAGAGCTGTAGCCCTTCGGTCTCCCAGGGGCTGTAACCTGAAAAGGCAGCCGAACTTCAAATGAGCGGGCTGCCGACCCTGGGGTGCACAGCCTCCTCCGACTCGGGCTGCTGGGTCATGGCTCTGTGTCCCCTTGTCACCAGCATCATCAGCTGGCTGCTGCCTGCCCTCCTCCTCTTCCTCTTGCCTATTCCTTCTTCTGAAGCTGCCCAAGCTCTTCCTCCGTCCCCCAGGCATAGATTGCTCCATTCCCGCACCTTCATCTGCACTTTGCCACAGTCCAAGCAACTCATGTGGATGTAAGGGCTGGCTGGTCTGCCTTCCCATACACCACGGGAGAGAAAGCGTCACTCTTTTATCCCTCTGTTGAGCCTGATGGCTCGTTTTTGGCAAAAACATCTTCCAGAAAAGTAGTGACTGTGGCTGTGAGGGCTTGGAGAGATGGAGAAGCCGTCACTTCCCAGGGAGTCTGTTCCAGCGGTTAAACATCCGCACTGTAACAAACCCACTCCTTATTTTCAGCTTGAATTTGTCTGGCTTTGGCTTCAGCTTCCAACCAGTGGTTCTTGTTCTTTCTTTTTCCAGTAGATTAAAGAGATCCTCAGCATCCAAAGCATTCTCCCTGCGGACATCCTTACATCCTGTTCAAGCCACGGCTGGTTGTTCCTTCAGCAAGGCTGGACTGATGACGCTTTTAACATTATCCCTGAGTTTTATGTGCTTCTTGGACTGTGGGAGTTTGAGGCTTTCTCACCCAAGTCCTGTGCAAGGTCCTGTGACAAGCAGAGCGGGACAGAGCCTCTCCACAAAGGGAACATTTGTTAGTGTCAAAATGATCAACTCTGGGAGTGGGCTGTGATGTTGTCTTCACGAGCTCACATGCACCCATTCTCGGGGACATGAGCTGTTTGCCATTTTGCACGCG